CAGAGTACTATGACATATCGATCACCATCAGCTCCCACAGCCCCTCTGGCTCAACAGCGGCCCAGGTGCGCACTGACACTAGCGGGGACATCTCGGAATGCAGGACGCAGAGGGCTTCCTATGGCCTTCACCAGCAGCGACAAGCTTTGGCCATGTGGCCGATGCAGCGAGGGGTACGTGTACTACAGAATGATCGAGAGCCACAGGGAGCACAGCAATGACGAACCAGGACATGAAAAAGACCAAGGAGGAACATGAAGTCAGTGGAAGGGGGTGTGCAAAGACTGCGAGTTGGCCGTCGGGCAAGACGAGTGGATCGAGTGGAGCGACGCAGAGACGCTTCGCCATGGAGGAGGCCAGCACATCACGAAGGAACAGGTGTGCCGCGAACAGAAGCGGAAAGCCAAGGGCATAGCGTGTATGGCTCAATCCTTGGGGCAGATCAAGGCGGCGAAGCCGATCATCGAAGCAGAGGAAGGACCCACTAATATGTCACACAACCAGAGAAACAAGAAGGTCATCGAGCGGTCCAAGAACATGTCGAAAGCACTGTTGGAGGGCATCAATAAGAACGGGGGTATCTTCGCAGCCTTCAGCAAGGCAGGATAGCATATGGCGGATGTACTAGGATGCGCGGACGAGTGCGACATCATGCTGCGCAAGCACATGCTCATGGCCGTCAGGGACGAGGAAGCGTTGAAGACAACCAAGCAGTAGCTAGAAAGGAAGGAGAAGGAGCTGCATGGGCTCGGCGACGACAAGACGGCCAATCATTTGGGCGCGAAGCAGGCACAATACCTCAAGGCGCTCGACTTCGTGGACACGTGGGGCGGCAACATGCAAATTTCAAGTGTGCAGGAGGAACACAGGCTGGACGCAAAAAGGACTGCGCCTGCTCGTGAGGGCCGGCCTTCCCCAACAAGACGTTGTGGAGACGCCCCAGCGCTACCTCGAGGGGAGCGCAGTGGAAGTTCTGGTGCAAAATGGACTAGAAGGCGCTTGTGACGACCCAGGAAAGCGTCCCCGAGGACGAACTCATGCAAGGATGGGTGGGCAAGATGAAGAAGGACCTCAAAGAGGACTACGAGAAGTGGCCGGGGATCGGCTGCAAGGCGAGGTTCCAACCGCACAAGAATGGGCAATCCATGGTGGTGGAGCTCAAGGTATGAGACAAGTGGGAAGCGTTCGTAGCTGAGAGGCTGCCGCAAGCGCCCGACGACGCCATCAAACGGAACCAGTAGAAGTTCTACGACGCGGCCCAAAAGATGAGCCCTGAGGAGCTGTACTAGCTGATCCCACCTTCCTTCCTGATGACGCACCATGTGAAGCGCTGCGCGCTGATCGCAAAATACCCACATGTGGGACGCAGCGGGAAGGAAGTTCTTCTCGATTCGACACGCAGCTGGTGCGAGCTTGCGTTGCGGATCTCGAAGAAGGACAACGAGAACCTACAGAACGTCATGGAGGTAGCCATGAGGGGGCTGAAGGACGCGACGATTCTCGAGCAGGAAAAGGTCGCGATGCTCAAGAAACGCGGAGCCCCGCGATAGCACGAACACCCCGCTGGACGGCACCGAGATCTTCGAGAGGTACGCCGAGACAGGTGGAGCGGCTAGCTCCAGCGGCCGCGCGTAAGGAAACCGACTTGCAAGGCCAGGAGGAGCAATAGCGGGGATATCTCAGAATGCGACCTCAAGCTGACAGGACGGCGCAGCCCACGCAACGACAGATGAGCTCAGAGGAACCGTCACTAGCGGGGACATCTCGGCGTGAGGACCCTTAGGCGAGAAGCTCCCACAGAGTAACGTCTTTGTATTTTGTTGGAACGCCGACAGGTAGACTACCACCGGGGGCGACGAGTGGAAAACGAGACCACCACAAAGGCCACTGGAGTATATCCCTGAGGGCCCCTCCTCCCTCGAAATGGCAGTGGTACATTTTCTACATCGCAGACAGATTGGGGAAACCTCTTACACGCCGTGACAAGAATAAATTGCTCGCCCTTACTTAAACGCCGAACGGGCGGGGCACATCAAGGTGCAATTGGTTTACAAAAGCAAATTTTGATACAGAGTCTTGCGTCGCAGGACCGCGTCAGACACAACATTGCATGGTTCAACCGGAGGCCAGCACGTCCAGGAAGAGAAGTGAGCCTAGAGAGGGAGAGGCTTTGTTAGGAGCGTGGGCACAGCAGGTCGTGGGTAGAACATGATTCGCCCCCCCCCCCCCCCCAGCAAAGCTTGGCACGAAGGGGCCTCCTGCATCCTCTCCTCTCCTCCCTGTGTCGAGTGTGGTCGTGTCGTCTTCCTCGCACCTGCTTGGGAGCCCTGCCCGCCCAGCGCGTCCCCGCCGCCGTGGGCACGGGAGAGGGCCGACAGCTGCCCCCCCCGCGCTGACCCGTATGGGATTTGTACTCATAGGGTAGCGAGCCTCTCTTATGGGCGCGGCAATCTCGCATCACGCGCGCGCGAGGACGGGGTTTCAGGAGGAGGGCGCGAAGGAGAAGAAGGAGTGAGAAGGAGAAGGAGAAGGGGGAGGATAACGAGGAGTCGTAGCAGGAGGAGAAAGAGGAGGAGAAGGAAAATCGAGGAGCCACGCCCAGATTGGCAAGCCAAAAAAACCGGAGCGTCGGAGACCCGAGCCTGTCAACCTGGACGGCGACGGCGACGACGACGGCGACGACCGCGTCAACTTGGCGGCACGCCAGTGCAGGCCCAGGCCAGGCCAGGCTCTGCAAGATCCTGCAGGATCCTGCAGGCTCCTGCAGGCTTCTGCGCGCCAGCCCGGGCCAGTGCAACCCGGGGGTGGCCCAAGTTTTGGGGGAAAGGGCCCCTTTGGGGCCCTTTTCTTCACCTCTAATTTCAGTCACCCCCCCCCCATTACCTCACGCCCGAGCAGCCCTGGCTCTGCAGGATCCTGCAAGATCCGGCGCTCTGGCTGACCCCCGTTTGCACGGACCCCTGTCTCTGTCTGGCTCCCGAAAGGGGCGGCGTTCGAAGACGCTGGCGGGGCTCCAAAGAAGGCTTGAGGGTTCTTCGGTTTAGGTCGGGTGTGTTCTCCGACAGGCGGATCTTGGAAGAAACATAGAGGTAGCCAAAACTTAGCCTTGTAAAGGACCCAACCATATATGCACCGCATTCGGAGGAGCTCCCTATGGGGCCACGAAGCGTGTGAGGCGCGTGCCAAATTGGTGCGGTGGGCGCATGCGAACGCTGGCATTTTGGCTTTCTGTGGGGCTCCCGATGGGGCCACGAAACGTGCGAGGGGTGTGCACAAATGGGTGCTATGGGTGCATGCGAACGCTGGCATTTGGGCCTTCAGTAGGTCTCCCTATGGAGCCACGAAGCGGGTGAGGGGTGTGCCAAAATGAATGCGGTGGCCGCATGCGAACGTTAGCATTTGGGCATACGGTGGGTCTCGCAGAGGGGCCACGAAGCGTGAGGGGTGTGCCAAAATAGGTGCGGTGAGCGCGTGCGAACGCTGGCATTTGGGCCTCTGTTGGGGCTCCCTATGGGGCCACGAAGCGTTTGAGGGGTGTGCCAAAATGAATGCGGTGGCCGCATGCGAACGTTAGCATTTGGGCATACGGTGGGTCTCGCAGTGGGGCCACGAAACGTTAGCGGGGTGTGCCGAAATGGGTGCGGTGGGCGCATGCGAACGCTGGCAATTGGGCCTTCGGTGGGGCTCTCCGTGGGGCCACGAAACGTGAAGGGTGTGCCAAAATGGGTGCTATGGGCGCGTGCGATCGCTGGCATTTGGACCTCTGTTGGGGCTCCCGATGAGGCCACGAAGCGTGTCAGAGGCATGCCAAAATGGGTGCGGTGGGCGCATGCGAACGCTGGCATTTGGGCCACTGTTGGGGCTCCCGATGGGGCCACGAAACGTGTCAGAGGCATGCCAAAACTGGTGCGGTGGGCGCATGCGAACGCTGGCATTTGGGCCTTCGGTGGGGCTCCCTGTGGGGCCACGAGACGTGTGAAATGGTAAGCCACAACTGGTGCGGTGGGCGCATGCGAGCGCTGGCATTTGGGTGTTCGATGGGGCTCCCGATGGGGCCACGAAACGTTTGAGGGGTGTGCCAACATGGGTACGCGCGTGCGAACGCTGGCATTTGGGCCCTCCGTGGGACTCCCTATGGAGCCACGAAATGTCTGAGGGGCGTGCCAAAATGTGTGCGGCGGGCGCATGCGAACGCTGGCATTTGGGCTTTCTGTGCGGCTCCCTATGGGACCCCGAAGCGTGTGAGCGGCGTGCCCAAATGTGTGCGGCGGGCGCATGCGAACGCTGGCATTTGGGCTTTCTGTGCGGCTCCCTATGGGACCCCGAAGCGTGTGAGCGGTGTGCCAAAATGGGTGCGGTGGGCGCATGCGAACGCTGGCTTTTGGGCATTCGCTGGGGCTCTCTATGGAGCCACGAAGCGTGTGAGGGGTGTGCTGAAACGGGTGATGACGATGCTGATGCTAGAGGGAGAAGGAGGGAGGAGCGGTGGAGGAGGAAGAGGAGGAGGAGGAGGAGGAGGAGGAGGAGGAGGAGGGAGAACGCGGGGCGCTGTCTCCTCAAAACGAGGACCCAACACCACAGGATGGTTGGGAAATAAACGAAAATTGTCAACAAAGCACGAACGCATGACCAAAAGTGGTCAAACGAGCAACAGGGACTCCGAGTAGCCCCATCGGCTACACGTAAGAGTGACCCTAGGAAAGCGTGACCTTTGGTGCGCGGCTTACGGAGATCCCCAACGGGCCATCCCCAAGCGCGCAAGACGCTATCATCGCATCGCGTCTGGCGATCGGGCGATCCCGGCGGGCCGCACCAAAGGTCACGCACGGGGGGGGGCTTCTTTGGGGCCCGCCAGGCTTCCAAGACGCCCTCTCAGATGCCTCGGGGGCCTTCTAAGAAGGCCCCTGCCTTCTGAGACGCCCCCCGCCGTCTTCGAAGGCCGCCTCCCTCGCGCCACTCCCGGTTGGGGGAAGCCCAGACGCATCCCCCCGGGACGACATGCCCCTGGAGAGGTGTCGCAGCGGCCACGGCTCGAGCCTTCGTGTGTGCGAAAACCCAGCCGTTGGGCGTCCCGAGGTGGGCCCTGGGCGCCCTCCCTCCTCTCCGGGGCACGTCTGCTGCGGGGTACGTCTGGCCTCTCCTGGCTTGCCATCGCTCGGACGTCCACTCCAGGTGCACTCTTCGGCCTCGTGCGCTGTCCTGCCCCCTGGCAAGATGCTCCGAGGTGCTCCTCAGTGGCTCTCGCCGAGAAAGACCGCACACGCCCCAGCGATGCCACGCTGACCTCTGTGGGTGCCGCCGGCCCGGCGCCGACGGAGGCGGCGCGCGCGCGAGCCTCCACGCGCCCCCAGAGGCCGCGCTCGGCGCCGCCGCGCATCAGGGCCGCGCGGGCGGCCGCGGAGGCCAGGCTTCGGCCCGACCGGGGGGCCGTGGCCGCCGGCGTCGCCGCCGTCGTGGGCGTCGCGGCCGTGGGCGTCGTGGGCGTCGTGGGCGTCGCCGTGGTCGTCGCCGTGGGCGCGTCGTGGGCGTCGTGGGCGCCGTGGGCAGCTCCGACGGCGCGACTCGTGCGGGCTCGGAGCGCTCTGCCTCGGCGTTTCGGCCCCCGGGCCCGCGATGGGGGCCGCACGCGGCCCGTGGTCGGGGCCCCCGGGCCATGAGAGACAGATCCCTGGCCGCGGATGAGCATGGGGGGGGCGGTGCGCGGGGAGGGCCCTGGTCGGCGGTGGACAAACCTCCCTTTAGCAAACCGCCCCTTAGTGAAAACGGCCTGGGACCGAAACCGACGGACCTGGACCCGCAGAAATGACGGCCGCGACGCCCTCTCGCGAATCGAAAACGGCCAATTCCTCATTCGACGTGTCGGGGTAGGAGGTCTATCCATCTCCGACCTGGAGGCCCTCTGTGGGGTCCTGAAGGCTCCTGCAGATGGGGCCCGAAAGGGCCCCTGCAGGGGGCCCTGAAGTGTCCCGTTTCGACGGCCCTCGCTTCCCCCCACTTATCACCCCCCCCCACGACGCGTGCTCCGGCATGGGCCATGGAAGACAGATCCGTGGCGAGAAACTGGCCTCTGAAAGGGGTCTGGATCTCTGGGGCCGCGGATGAAACAATTCAGGTCGTGACTGTCAGGGGGCGTCGTCGCCGTGGACGTCGTCTCGTCGCCACCGTCGGCGTCGGTGTCGGCGCCGGCGCCTTCTCCCCCTTCTTCTCCGTCTCCCCTTCCCCCCTCGCCCGACGACGAGGGGGACCCACGAAGACGCTGACGAAGGCGACGAGGATGGCAACCACGACGGCGGCGACGACCGACGACGTCGACGATGACAGCGACGAGGACTACGTACGACAACGGCGACGTCGGCGAGAAGACGAGCACCGACGACGGCAGCGACGAGAGCGACGACGGCGACGCCGCCGACGTCGACGGCTGCCCGCCCGGCCGGCAGCCGAGGCCGAGGCGCCCCGGGGGGCCGCCCGGCTGAGAGCACCGCGCACCCCTTGCTGAAGCCGACCAGGGCCAGGCGTGGGGGCAGCGGGTGGCCCAGCTGCCCCTCCAGCGAGGCCAGCAGCAGGCCTCCGGCGGTCCAGGCTCGAAGCTCGAGGCTTCTGCCCGCCACTCTTGAAGGGGCCCTGAGACACACAAATAAATACACACAAGTGAAAGGGTCCCCCATATTTTACCATATTTTCTGGGTGTCTGTCTTCACCCCCACTTCCCATCTTTTCCTATATTTTCTTGGGAATCGACGATTCATTGTGTCTGTGTGTTTCTGTCCCTCCTGAACTCTCGCAGCTGCGCGCAAGGGTGGCCCCAGGCAACGGGGGACCTCTGGTGCGCGGCTCGCCGATCGTCGCACGTGAGCGGAGGCCTCCCCGAGGAGGTCCGAGCACATGGGGCCGGAAGATCGCGCCGCGTCGCCTACAGTCGGGGCGTTGACCTAAGGAACCCTAAATAAGGAACGAGGCCCCTTCTTCCATGAATTAAACTTCGATTTCCTATCGGAAACATGAGGAAAACCTGAGGCAAGCTGTGAAACACTTAAAGAACGCGGAGCCCCTCCCCAACGAAAAGGGTTCCTTCTTCAGGGCCCTGACTGTATGCACCAGCGACTTCTGGAGAAGTTCTGGCTCCGCATCGAACCGCATCGTCGATGTATCGGCGATGCGGAGCGGCTCTTCGACCCCAGCTGCGGCAGGCTTGTGTCGTGCCGACTTCGGCGTCGGTTTCTGACACCGCGGGGGTCGTTCAACCTTGAACGATCGGCCGTTCCCGAAACGTCAGATCGTTCAACATCGACCGATTCTGGGTCGCCGGCGGCGTTCAGCGTTGAGCGCCGGCGGCGTGGTCGCCGCTGGTCGACACGACGCGAACCTGCCGTGCTCGGACCCTCTCTGGGGGATGCCCGGAGTTAACCAGCCTCGAACTTATCCCTACGTATCCCTGAGATTGACACGCCAAAAGGCGATGACAATCTTAGGGATGCACCCTCAGAAACCGAGGGAATCCCTAAGATCGCCATCGTGACGCGGCGATGCCCAGGGATAAGGATGGGGATAGGTTCCGGGCTGGTGAGGAGGGATTGCGACCCTGGCGGCCTGCATGTTTGGGCTTGGCCCCCCGCGCCCTCCGGGAGCCGCGCGCCAGAGGCCACTCAAGAGACGGGCCACTCGTGCGTGTACGGCCAGTCCTAGGATCAGGTCGGGCCTGTCCCCCTACAGGGGGGATTTTCGACGAAAAATCAAAAATACCCTAAGAATGCCCCCAAATGGCAAAAAAATAATCAGGAAAGAGTCCCCAGACCATTTTTGGAGTATTTTTGAACTATGTTTGGAATATTTGTAATTTTTCGTCGGAAATCCCCACTTGCTGCATGAAACTAAGAGCACGAAAAGCATCGCCACCATATTATTTTGCTGTTATTGCATCTTCCTCCTGTAGAGGGACATGCCCGACAGAACCTAGGACAGAAGAACGCGCTTCAAGAACATGAGACCCTTCGCCGGCCCAAACACCACGAACCATAAGATCACTCGAGGGTGCCCTGCCCCAGGATGCGCAAGAAGATTCAACAAACACGAATAACATTAGGGCACCTTCCCCGAACCGACCTCGATCTTATATATTGGTCCGACCGTACCCGATTCTCAGCCTCTGGGGGCCCATGTCGTGTCCCCAGCGCCGTCAGAAATCGATCGGGGGCGAAAAACTGCCTAGGGCGGACCTCGGGAGGGGTCTTCTGGGGCAAGGCGGCCGAGGAGGTCTGCAAGGCGGCCCCAGGTATCCCCCAAGACTGCCCCACGACGGGCGCAAGAGACCCCTGGACAACCAAAAGGGCCCCAAGGCAGCCCACGAGAGCTGCAAGTCAGCACGAGAGGGCTCCAAGACGACCCGTTGGACCCCAGGGCTGCCGAGCCCAGGCGAGGACAGACGAAAAGGAGGAAGACGAGGATGACGACAGGAAAACCGGCGATATGACGCGGAAGAGTGTGTCACATGTTACGGCACTCCCAAGCCTCGGGACACGATGTGTCACACGTTACGGCCTCCTGACGGTCTACTGTGCACCCCCCGAACAGTTGCCATCCAAAGAGCTGTGCTGGCACGGTGGCGGGACTTGGACAAGGAAAGGGGGATGGGGAAGTACCGGCGGATGCGGCAACGAGTGCCGAGCACGAGGGCGCGGGTGTCCAACCCTTTGCGTGCTCATCCTCCTGAACCACAAGGTTCTTGCACGCCTCGTTCCCTGCGCCGTCATCCTCCCGACACCGCGAGTGCCCCACGCCCCGTCCCATCACGTGGGCGCCCAGAGCCCTCGACCCCAGCACCCAGGCCCGTTTCTCGCCGCTGGCATGTTTTACAGGCCCCAGACCATGACAACGAAATCGGCACACAACTATTTCTCTTCGTGCGATCGCCCCCAAGAGCGCGAGGCGGGATACCCACGGGCACACTTTGGGCCTGGCGGCCGCGGTATGCGATCATCATTCGTCGAAGGCGCGAGGCGAGATACCCAGGGACCACCAGCACACTGTGGGCCTGGTGGCGGCGGTGTGCAGGGTGTGCGAGGCGGGTCGGTCTAACGACCACAACCTGTCGGGCAGGGAGCAACAGCACAAGTGCAATGTTTCACCAGAGCCCGCCATGATCCCAGCTTAGAACCTCGGGAGACGTCTGAAGACCATTGAGCGCACGTCCGAAGACCTTTGGAAACGTCCTCCTTCTCCTCCTTCTTGGCGACCGTTTTCCACTACTGGGTGAAAAGCAAGAACGGAAGGTTAATGAGAAGGGATGAGGAAGACGAGGAAGTTCTGGGGGAGAAGGATTCTGGCGTGAGGGTGAGAAAGGAACAAAGAAACCATGGGAATGCTTAAGCAATATCCGCTAAACAAAACACCACACACCCTTCGAGCATCTCCACGTGCTCCTCCTCCTCCTCCTCCTCCTCCTCATCATCATCATCATCTTTCTGCGCACTCGCCTTCTACTCCTGCGCGAGAAGGAGGATCATTATAAGAATGGGAGGCGGCACTCCTGGATATTACTCCAAGTGCGCAACAATACTGACAATGCTGGTATTATGGCTAGTGTTGTCGTTCTGATTCGATATAAGGAGAACTGTAACCATATCAAGACATCAGGTGAGCTGTTGGAAATATGGCTTTGCTGTTGCTTTTCCGTATACGTGACGGACTGTGTGATACAACATGTACAGGGATGGGGTTGTTGATCATTTCTGGAGCATCTCCTTAGCAGTTAATAGTGTAGCACACTCCTTTACCCAAACCAGACTGGCCAAGAGGGAAAGAGGGACGAGGAATTATGGTTGGAGGGGAATAAGGAGACACAGGAGTAGGGCAGAGGATGAGGGAGGGAGGAGGGGGAGGATACTGTAGCAGGAGGAGGAGGAGACCGACGATGCCGCCAACAACGACGGCGGCCTCGACGCCGTGTTTTCTTGAAACTCCGAAGGCCCAGAAAACAATGTTTCTGGCTGCATCCGAAGGCCTAGAGAAGGGCTGATAGCGCCCGTCCTCCACCCTCGAGCTTCGAGCCTCGATCATCCGTCCTCGAACCGCCACCCTCGAACCTCCGCCATAAAACAATGTTTCTGGATGCGTCCAAAGGCCTAGAAAGGGCTGATAGCGTCCGTCCTCGACCCTCGAGCTTCGAGCCTCGATCATCCATCCTCGAACCGCCATCCTCGAACCTCCGTCCTCAAACTTCGATCATCGAACCTGTATCGTCGAACCTCTACCCTCGAAGCTCCATCTTCGAACGTCCATCCTCGAGCATCGAGCCTCGATGCTGGAACATCGACCCTCGAGTCTCGATCCGCGATCTTCGGACCTCATGCCTCGATCCTCCTCCCACTCCCCCACAGCAGGGGGACGACAGCGACGAGGACGAGGAAGACCCACGATCTTCAAACGCCGATCCTCCTCCCTCCCCTCAGCAGGAGGACGACGGCGACGATCGCGAGGAGACTCGAGGATGCTCGAAGATCGACGTTCGCGGATCGACCGGCGGCGCGCCGAGGAGGTCAGGCAGAAGAGGCGGGGCCCTCCCAGAAGGCTCAGCAAGCCTCCAGCCGTCCGAGAAGCTTTCCGAGCCTTCTCCGAAGCCACGGATCGGAGGAGAGGGGAAGGTAGCCACACCGCTACCCTGCGGCCGTTCTCCCCTTGTCGCCCTCCCTGGGATGCCCTCGTCGCCACCGTTGGATTCGCCTCGAAATCCTCCTCGGAAAACGCACCCTGGGAGAGGTCCAGCGGCCATCGGTGCTTTCCCTTCCCGGTTTCCCCACCGCAGAAGGCCGGGTGGGCTTATGAGAAGCCCCGCCGGCCCTCTGGGAAGGTCTGCCCCTCATCACTTCACCCCTGAGCGCGCCGCCGAGTCTAGGACCCGCGCACCTTACTCCATGCTTGCGCTTCCTCGAAGGATCGAGGACCTGGGCGTTGCTAACTGTGTGGGCACTATAATTTGGACGCCCGAAATGGGTACTGAAATAATGGGCACAATGCCCAACAACAATTCCTGTTCATTTTGAACAGGATTCGCTGTCCACGCCGCCGCGGCCTGTGTCCATTCGAGACAGAAGGCCGCCTGCCCAACAGCGGCCCCTGTTGGCTTGGTACAACAGTTGTTGTTGGGCATAGTGCCCATTCTTTCCGTACCCATTTCGGGCAACCAAATACAAGGAGAGGGTTGGGTGACAGAAACGGTGCTCCTTGCGTGGACCTTCGGGGCCACAGCGGGCACCTTCGGGGCCCCTGTCCCTCGAGCTCTTCGGGTGCACCGAAGCAGGGGGGCCAGGGGGACGTGTTGAAATAGGACAAGGGGTTATGATATCTGGGAGATATCGGTTCTCCGGCCATGATGTTCACCTCCCGCCCCAATACTCACTCGCCTCTTGGACGCCTGGTGGTTTTCGGACCATAACTCGGGCCTCCAGCGCCCGTTCGGAACGCGATCTGGGCCCTCCCCGAAAACTTTCGTCGAGGCGCAGCTGCCGGAGAGCATCCCGCGGCTGGAAAACCTGCGGGAACCGACGACACACGTCGGAAAACGTTGCAGGTCGCTAGGAGGTGCTAGGAGGTTACTGTTGCTTCCGAGGCCAAATCCCAATACGCTCGGCGGGCGCGCTTGTTGCGTTTATAGCAATCCTTACGACCCCCATTCGCAAGAAGCTCGGAACTTAGGTTTGCTCTTACCCACGATTGGGTTGTTTAGGTCTGCTCCCACCCTGCTTACCAGCATCACCACCTCCCCCGTCGCCCCAGAAACACAGATCGCGTTCGCTGCCCCTCGGCGAGCTTCGAGGGAAACGTCGAACTGCCCCCCTCGGCGCGAAGCCGACTCGAGGATCGAGGACCCTCGGCACTCGATGCTCCTGGGTCGCTCCCCCGCGCAGAGCCCAGGCCCTCGAGCTCTGGGGGTGCTCTGGAGGGGGGGGCCAGGACGATGGGGGGCGGTCACCCCGAGGCCGTCACGCCTCGAGGAACCGACGGAACCGTCCTCGAACCTCAAAGCTCGAAGCGTCCTCGAGACTCGAGCCTCGAACCGACGAACGTGACTGTCCTCGAACCTCGAACCTCGAGACGTCCTCGAGAATCCCGGGCCGCCCCCTCCCCGACTTCGGCTCCGCCGTGCTCTGGCCGATTTTCCGACGCAGAAGTCGCGCAAGAACTGCACGCCAAGCAAATGATGCGCAGAAGCGTGGCGGACACTTCCGCCTCAACAGGAAGCAGGGCGGATATGTCCGCAGAGGTACGGCGGCAACAGCGACAGCAAAGCAGGGCGGACATCGACACCAGAGGAGCTTGGAGAGCAGGGAGGGAAGCAGGAATAGACCCAAACAGTGGTTTTCGTCTTCGTTTTCCTTCGTTTTGTCTTCAACGCGCCTTTGCCGCAAAACGAGGTCGAAACGAAAACGGCCGACGAGATCGCAAAAGCACCGTTTAGGTCCACCCCTGGGAGGGGCTTTCTGCCCCACTTGCGAAATCGCCCAAGGTACGGCTGATCCGAAGTTCAGAGTCAGGGCTCCCTGGCTCCGGATCTGCCGTATTGCGGTGTGGAAGATGTCGTAAGTATGGCAGAAGACCCCACCTCACTTGCCCCTTTCCGCCTTGCCTTCACAAATGTCGCGTCATTTGGGGTGCATTTGCGACGCAACTTACCGGTCAGGAACTCTTGCTCAGCGTGTCATGTCATGGCGGCGGCCCTGGCGACACGCGCTATGCCCTGCGAGCGGATAGCGTGTCTCCGCGGGGCGGGATGCTCTGAAAGCCTCGGGAATGAGGGACTGAAACGTGGATAGGGTGTCGCACCAGAGCGTGGTGGGCCAGAACCAGCGGAGCGACACAATAAGCGCTAAGCCAAAGTTCCTGACCGTTGGAGGTGGCCGGGGCGTCTGAACTGGATGAGACCCCAGACAATCGGCCATGAGGAGGCGATGAAACCAAATCCGCTCAAAATTTGTTCTCGGACCCCTCCCGGGGTCAATTGGGTCACCTTAGACCCGTTTTCAAATGCCCTGGATCCCGAAAACAGCCCCCGTAGGCAGAAAAAGGAAACAAACTTCCCGAACACAGCACTTCGAACCTGCCCGCCCCTCCTGCTGGCCAGAACCAAAGCTGGGCCACCTGTCAGACGGCTCCAACCTGACCGTACGTCGGAAAATCAACAAAACATAAAACTGCGGATCCTCAGCTGCCTCGATACGCAACGTGCAACACGTAGCGTATTTACACGGAGCTCAGCACGTAGACTGGAAACGTAAATCGGACGCGACGCCGTCGCAAAACCGTGGGCCGATATGCTGAGCCAACGAGCCAGCACGCAGCGTATTGACACGGACGTCTCGAGCACGGCACGTGTTGCGTCCCAAAACGGGCGTATCGAGGCAGCTACGTGCGGATCCGAACTCACCGGCTACACACAAGAGTGACCCTCGGCAAGAGTTAAGTCGGGCCTGTCCCCCTGCAGGGGGATTTTCTACGAAAAATGAAAAGTACCCCAACAACAATCAAAAAAATATCCAAAGATAGCCTGGGGACTATTTTCTGAATACTCTTTGGCCTTTTTGGCATATTTTTGTTTTTTTGTCATTCTTCGTCGAAGCTCCCCCTGTAGGGGGACACGCCCGACAGAAGGCAAGGAGTGGCCTCTGGTGCGCAGCCCGCCGCCCGAGGCGGGGGACCGTTGGGGGCACCACCCGGCGCGCAGGCCGCTGCCGTCGCACTGCGTTCGGCACTCAGGGGGCCCCGCTGGGCCCGCCCCAGGGGTCACCCTGGCCCACAGTCGGGACTGATGAGGAACGAAGCCCCTCCTTGGCCCTGTATCGGGTCGGGCGAAAGGGGGGGATAGCAAAGGGGGGGTTTGAGAATCAGCTCACGTAGCTGATTTTCCCGGCGCCTCCCGGCGCCGGGAGGCGGCCATGTATCGAGGAATGGACCCCTCGGCGGGGTTGAAACCAGCTGCATGCAGCAAATTTCGTACCCCCCCTTTCCCAATCCTCCCCTTTCGTCCAGCCCGACTGTAAGCGCCTCCGTGCCCCAGGAGGGTCCGAGGAACAGCACTGGAGGCACCGAAGGAACATCGAGCCCCTTCCAAACCCCAAAACTGTTCCTTATTTCAGCGTCTCGACTGTAGGGTCACTCTCTCGCGTAGCCGAACTCAGGCCTACACCCTGCGGAATGCTAGAGAATCATGGGTTAAGAAATTCAGAGTCTCGGAGTTTGAAGAAAAACCCAGAATTTCTATCATCATCTCAGGATTTGCATTGAAACATTGAGAATGATCGAGACTCTGGCCGAAAACGTCAGTTTTCTTAAGCATCGCCTAGGGTGTAGGGTCACTCTCTCGCGTAGCCGAACTCAGGCCCACCCCCGCCGCCGCGCGGGGCCCAGGTGCTCCGCGGCCCGGGGCGGCTGCAGCCCACCGCCGCCGGGCTCCGCGCCGCCTCCCTCGCCGTCTTCGGCACCCTCGGCGCACGGGACCGCCGCCGCCAATGCGCCGTCAGCAGCGGCGGCGGCGGCGGTCGTCGTCGTCGTCGTCGTCGTCGTCGTCGGCGTCGGCGTCGTCGTCGTTGGCGTCGACGTCGTCTGCGTTGGCGTCGGCGCCGTCGGTGTTGGCGTCGGCGTCTGTCACGTAGCCGTGTCGGCGCGGAGCGAAGGGGCGGAGAGGATCCCCTGGACCCAGATCGAGGGAGCGGCCTGGAAACCAGAGCCGCTCCTGAGCCAAAGTTGGTCCTTGCTTCGAGCAATCCCCAGTGACTCAGCTGTCCCGATACACAGAAAGGAACCCGCAGCGTGCTGACACGGAGCAGGCCGAAAACGTAGATCTGGCGCGATACGTCTCCTAGAAAGGGACTCCAGCGAAAGGGACTTCTGAGGCCGCGGCGTTGGCTTTGAGACTTCGACGAGTGCGAGTGACAAATCGCACTGCGGCAACCTTCTGGGCGAAGCCGAGCGGACTCGAGAAATGGGCATCGCCCGTCTCAAAAGTCCCTTTCCCTGGGGCCCATGCTGGAACCACGGACGGCCAAAAAGGCCCAACGTGTATCGAACTTACGTGCAGCGTGTTGACACAGACGTTTTGAACACGGTACGTGGTGCGTTTCAAAACGCGCGCATCACTCAAGGGGCCCAAGGACACACAAATAAATACACACACAAATCCCAGGATTCCTTATATTTTTCAATATTTTCCGGGTTTTCGTCTTCCCCCCCACTTCGGGTATTTTCCAATATTTTCCTGGGAGTCGACGATCAATTGTGTCTGTGTGTTTTCTCCGATCTGAATCACGGCAACTGAGCCCAAGGAGCGCCAGACCCCTCGCGGCCTGGCGGCCGCGGCACGCAGCCGCTCTTCGTCGAAGGCGCGGAGCGGCTTCCCCAGGAAGCACCCGCTCTCTTGGGGTCTGGCGGCGACGGTCTGCGGGGTGGGCGAGGCGGGTCGGAAAGTCATTCCCCAATCAGTCCTTGCACTGAAGGGGTCCTAGCGGAGGTTGAAAAAATTGGCGAAAATTTCCCGCCGATATTGGTGGCAGGCTGGGTTCCCGGATTCCCGGGTTCCCGGTCGATCTCCTCAGCGAAAGCCATCCACTGATTGTTTTTTCTGGGGCGAATTTTTTTCTAAGCCTGAGAGCCCCAACTTGTCGGGCGGGGGAGCATGCGGCCGATTCAAGAATCCCTGGACTCAAAACCGCTTCCATCTCTTATGGGCGCATCTTTTACTTCCGCCAGCTTCCGCCGCCCCTCCGCCAGCTCCCGCTGGCGGAGCCGGCCTCGTTTTCCTTCCGCCGCCTTCCGCCGAGCTTCTGCGGCCTTCCGTCGAGAAGGGATGCCAACCTATTCGACCATCGAAGACGAGGCCCTTTCTGGAACGCCGCATGTAAGACCGTTTAACAGCGTCTATCATCCAACTGCGACTCCCGAGCCTCCAAAAGTCTCAGAAGATCTCTCCCGTGTTGGATTCTCGTTTTGAATAACTATGGCGAGCTCTTACTGCGCACGAGCCCCATGTGAAGACGGCGACCACGACGATCGCGACGACGACGACGACAAGGGCGAGGAGACGAGGGCGACGACGATCACGACGACGAGGGCAAGGATGGGAGGGCGAGGAGGAGATAGAGGACGATAATTCGCAGCCGAGAGCTTCGCGGGGGGGAGGGGGTGCAGCATTAAAGACCTTCCGCGGTTAGAGCACCGTTATCTCCACTCCTCCTCTCCTCCTCACCCTCCTCCTGCCTCCTCCAGCGCTGCTCCCTGGGAGGCCTCCAGCAATGCCTCCTGAGGGATCCAGACGTCTGCTGTGGCTCCTCGAGGTCTCGGAGGCTCCTGGGGCCCCCTGGAAGACGGCAGCGGCGACGACGCTGGCGCCGTCGCTGTCGTCATCGGCGGCGTCGGCGTCGTCACCGTCGGCCTTGTCGTCGACCTCGTCGTCCTCCTCCTTGCTCCGTCCGAGGAGAGGGGGCAGGAGGAGGTTTAGAATAGGAGGGGGAGGACGCAAGAACAGCAAGAGAAAGGAGAGGAGGGGGGAGGACCAACTGGAGGGAGGAACATGTACGACCTCCCGAGGGAACGGGAAAGGATGATCTGAGCGGCCTTCGATGGCGCAAGGTCCGAGAGGGGACGCGGATTGCCAATGCTGTCGACCAAGAAGAAATTCACGTAGGCGGCGAAGTGGTCGATCATCATGCGTGGGCGCACCAGCACGACGGTCTCCCGGGGAAACTTGCAACACAGGACCCACAGCAGCCCCTCCAAGGAGTAGCTGTACCTCTCGGGGGAGAGGGTAGTGAGAAGCGGGTTGAGAGAGGAGGGGCGAGGGGTCTGAGATTTTTGGACAATTTAGCGGGTCTTAACGGTTTCAAGGGCCCTGGGGTACGGCATTCCAGTCCCGGCCGCGAAGTTGGAGATGTCTCCTGGGAAGAACACGACGCAGCGCTCCGCGTCTGCGACATGCCTGACGAGGATCCAATTGAATTTCCCCTCGGCACCGTTGCAGTGGAAGAGGCCAGCGCACAGTGGCATGGCCGCCAGACGGCATGGGCCAAAACGGCTAAGTACAGCATGGTGGGGCGTCGCAAGAGGAATAGAGGGGCCGAGCACGCGTTACGAAAATCGCCAACCTCTGCTGCGCTTCGCGCCGCGCGAACCTCTTGACGCCAGGAGCCTCAAAATTGCACCTGGTGTCGAACACTGCAACACAAAACATAATGACCATAACTCAACTTTTATTGTTCAAGACGTTGAAATCTGGATCCCTCTCCGGTGCAATCCCATCCTGCAACCGTGCTGGGGTGCTCTCTGACAAGACTTTGAGCGTAGTTCCCGCTGTGGCGTCAAAGAAGCCCCCTGGTGCACCACAAACGACCAAAAACATACAACATATGTGACCTCGAACCTCGATCCCAAAGGCCGAACTCCGTGAACATGCGTCCTTTGGGATTTTCATGGCAAGCAAACGTTGGATGTATGGTGCCCGGGTCCACTGGGCGGCGGCTAGTTCTCTTGGCCTTTAAGGCTGCACATGGGCCATCAACATGGGGCATAATCATTATCTATATTGCAACACGGAAAGGCGACCCACTAAGTCCTGGGGGGGGGGAGGGTAGCTCCTAATACTCTTGCATAACGGAGAATATAGGTTGCGCTCCTTATGTGATTGTATATGTATGTATGGTGTGAGATCCATGTGGTGCAATCTACGCGGCTCAATTTATGTTGCGCAAGCTATGCAGTGCAGACTGACTGGTGTTGTGCACCCTTTATGGTGCAACGCATGTGGTGCCATATATGTTGAGCACCCTATGTGGTGCAATCTATGTTATGCAATCCATGTTGGTGCAATATATGTGGTGCAACCTATGCGGTGCAATATTTGTGGTTCAATCTGTGCGATGCAATCCTGTTGCGTAGTTCAGGGCGGCGACGAGCCGGCGACGGCGGCCACATCGCCGCCAGACCGAAGACACGGCCCAGACGACGGGCGGCGACGAGGCGGCGACCGCGGCCATATAGCCGCCAGACCGAAGGCACGGCCCAGTTCCTTAGAACAGAAGTAGGAGCCGATACATGCGAACACTGCTTGGGGAATGTCTACTGTGTATGGTTCGTTCTCCGTATCCCACATACGGCTGGACGAACAATTGTGGCAAACTGTGATAGGACTCCAGAAGATCCTCTGCCGTGTCGACAAAACAGCTCTGGCACAAGCCCTTGACTTTGATACCCCACCACTCTCACTCAGGTCCACTGCCTGGAACGTGTTAACTTCTCTCTACCCCTCCTCCCATCCCCTCATCCTTCCTCTCCTTCTCCCCCTCCCGCACCTCAGCGCGCTCTCGCGCGCGTGGGGTCGGGGAGGAGGAGGAGGGAGGTGGAGGGAGGGGGACTCGTCGTCGTCGTTGTACTGATCGTCGGCGGCGAAAGAAGCATTGTGGAGGGAAGAGGAGAGAGGCAGGGAGGAGGAGGGAGAGAGAGGACGGAGGCAGGAGGGAGCAGCGAGGAGGGAGGGAGGGGGAGGAAGGGAGGACAGGACGCAGGGAGGGGGAGAAGGCAGGATTTTGTATTGCGTATCTAATTCAACCACTGGTTGGTCAGAAAAAAAACACGGCACTCAACCCGCAAAGTGAAACCCGCTACTCGCTACTCGCTACTCGCAACTCACCACTCACCGCTCTCTACTCACTGCGCATTACTCACTACTCACTACTCACTCCTCGCTATTCGCTACTGTCTACTCCCTCATCCCTACTCCCTGCTTGCTACTCACTATGCACTACGCACTACACACTACTCACTCCTCACTACTCACTACTTACAATTTCATACTCACTATTTCCTTCCCACTACTCACTACCCACTACTCACTACTACTCACGAATCTCTACGCGCTACCCACTACTACCACTACCCATTACCCACTACTCACCACTCACGACTCACTGCGCACTACTCACTATCAGATACCCCCCACGACTCACCAATCGCTACTCAAAACACTCTATTCTCTACTCACTACCCGAACGGCCCCCTCCCCAGCCCCCTGTTCGGCGCAAAGGGGGGAGGAGGGGGGGGTGTCGAACCCCCCCCCCCCCCCCCCCTTTCCAGCGCCAAGGACGGGAGGGGCGGGGGTTCCGTACCCCCCCCCCCCTTAAAGGGAGGGGAGGGCGTTCGGACACCCCCCCCCCTCTTAAGGGGGGAGGGGGGGTCGAAATCTCACCCCCCCTTTGAAGGGGGGGGGGTTCTGCGAGCACCCCCTCTTTTGTGTCTTCAGGGCCATTCACTGGCGGGCTTTCCACGCACGCTTCTCGGCCCCATGGGCGGCGGCTCACTCCCGTGGCCTCCGCTGGAAACGTCACGGCCAGGTGCTCGGCTCGGTGGCGGCAACCCTGCGCGTGTCGCCGGCAGGCCGCACGGGGAGATGGCCAACGCGGCGGCGGCTGCAGGCCAGACGAGAACGTGGCCGAGCGCTGAGGGCACGTCGGCGTGCGCCAACAGGACGACCAGGAGCGGCTGGCACCTCAGCCGCCAGGGTGCGCAGCACGCAATCCGTAGCGCATTGGTACGGAGCTCAGCACGCAGACTGACAACGTAGGTCTGCCGCGATGCGTTCGCCGAAGTGTGTGCCAATACAATGTGGGCTTGGACAAGGAGCCCTTAGGGAAGGAATCCAGGGTCTGGAAGCTGGTGGAACCCGAACCGTGGACCGGCCATGGGTGGCATCGCCGCCCTCATCGGATATATAAGGAACCCTCCAGGGTCTGAGTCCTCCTGGGCAGCACATTCCCTTAGCCAACGCCCCCACCGCACGCTGCGCCAGCACGCAACGTGTCGACACGAACGCTAAGAGCACGGTACACCCTGCGAAATGCTCAAGAAATCATGGGTTAAGAAATTCACAGTCTCAGAAATGGAATAAAACCCATAACTTCTTTCACAATCTTGGGGTTTACATTGAAAAGTTAAGAGTAATCGAGACTCTGGACGAAAGCTTAGGTTTTCTTAAGCATCGCCTAAGGTGTACGCCTTGCGCCCCCCAAAGCGGGCGCATCGAGGCAGCTGCGCTGCTGGCAGAGCGGGGCGCTCCGCGGCCGCCGCTCGGGCCTCGGCCGCGGCGGGACCTTCCGCCTCAGCCCGTCGAGCAGCCGCGTCGTGGCGTCGAGGCAGCCTCCACCCGTGGCGTCATCCTCCTCCTCCTCCTCCTCCTCCTCCTCCTCCTCCTCCTCCTCCTCCTCCTCCTCCTCCTCCTCCCGCCCGCCGCGCGCACTCGGCCGCCGAGGGCCTATCCGCCCGCCGCTCAGCCTCTGCTTCGTGCGAATGTTGGTTCGGCTCCTCCCGGGCTCCGAGTGCCACCGACTCCGCTGCCCCGGTAAGCAGCACGCAGCTCGTGGCCTGCTGGCACGGAGCTCAGCACGTGGACGGAAGACGTAATGTACGGCGCGATACGTTCGCCAAAACGTTGACCGTGCCCAACCAACATGCAACGTGTTAACACGGACGTGCTGAACACGGCACGTCTTGCGTTTCAACACGGGCGCATCAAGGCAGCTAAGCCTACCAGCCGTTGAGGGCGTGAGCGGTTTAGCGAGCTTCGTCTTCCAACCCCCTTGCTCCTTCTTCGGGGAGGTGTTTGCCCCCTGGACCTGGACAGGGCGTTTCGCGAGACGTTGGGCCGTCCAAGATGGCCTCGGCGAGAGAACCACAATCAATGATGGCACTTTGTTTGCCACATGTTGGCCTCCTGAGGGGGGGGGTGATTGAGGAGCCCTCCTCTTTTGATCGATCTCCTCCAAGGTGGCCCCAGATGACCCCCGAGGCTCATATGGGTGCCCCACGACTACCCCAAGAGGTGCCCAGGATGCCCCGAGATGCCCCTAAGAGGCGCCCAAGGGGCCACCAAGAGATCCCCAAGACGCCCCAAGAGGGCCTCCCAGAGGCATTCTCGACGCCCAAAGAGGCCCTGGCGAGAAGGCCAGAATCATTGATTTACTAGGTCGTTGCCGCACTGTGGCCTCCTGGGGGGGGGCCCTGATGAAGGAGCCCCCCTCCTTTGATCGATCTTCTCTAGGATGACCTCAGGGTGGCCCCCCGCTGCTCCCAAGTGTGCCCCAAGAGGTGCCCAAGAGGTGCCAAGAGGCCTCCAAGAGGCCTCCACGATGCCCCCCAAGAGGCTCGCACGCGACCGCCAAGTGGCCCCTCAGAGGCACCCAAGGCGGCCTAAGAGGCCTCGGCGAGAAAGCCGCAACCAATGACTTTACTAAGGCTTTGGTCACACTGTGGCCCCCTTGGGGGGCGGACCTACATAAGGAGCCCCCTTCTTTTGATCGTTCTCTCCCTCGCAGATGGTGCCCCAAGACGGCCCCAAGGGTTTCCCAGGAGGCCTCAAGAGGCCCGCACGATGCCCCCAAGATGCCCCTAAGAGGCCCCGAAGAAACCCCCAAGAGGCTCCAGGAGTCCCCCAAACGAACCCAAGACGCCCCGAGAGGCCCCCAGGACTGCCAAGAGACACCCAAGACGCCAGAAGATGACATCAAAAAACTCTCGAACGAAATCCAAAGAGACTCCGAGAGGTATTCAAGGGGCCTTTGGCCTCTCTGCTCGCGGGATGGGCTGCCTGCTGCGCGGTCGCCGCAACGAACTCGGCGTCCGCAAGGCGAACGACAGGATGGGTCTCGTCCTTCGCCTGCCGATCGGCCATCTGGGCGGCGCTGGGGAGCGCATCTCCCGGCGCCACCTCGCAGGATCGAAGGACTGCCGCCGCGCGGCGCCGGGGCCATGCGTCACGGCGCACCACCAGCAGCCTCGCTGCCGCCAGAGGGCTAGCAGCTCTGGCGGCAGCCGTGCTGGGCCTCACGGTAGGAGCTTCCGCGACGACTCCTGCGAGCTCCGCCGGCAAAGCATCCTCGGCAACATCCGCAGCTCCTGGGGCAGCGGCCTCCTCGCCTGGACAGCCCTCGCTGCCTGGCCCCTTCCTTTTGCCCCCCCCCCCCCCCCCCCTCTCGGGTACTTCTCGGGGCCAAGCTCGGCCCGCACTGGAGCCGACCTTCAGGCAGGCCATGGACCTGGACCGGGCGGCGGCAGCAGCGCGCGGCATCACGCCAGAGGCCTGTGCGCCTCTAGAGGCTCAGCACCAACTGGACGTGCAGCAGGGCCAGCACGAGGTAGAGCACGATCTTCATAACATGCAGGAAGACGCGCAGAAGGGACTGCATGAGGTAGAGCCGGGGAACCAGGGCGAAGATGATGAGCATACTCAGCTCCAGGAGCGCCACGATCTGGCAGCGCGAGGACCGCAGCAGCACGGCACCTAGCCTCGGGCAGGGGCACCTCCTAGGGCGCAGAGCCACGTCGAGGAACACGATCGGCAGCAAGCCGAGCCTCCGCGTGCGCCTCGAACTCCTGCAGCAAGATGACCTGCGCGGTCGACTCGTCAAACCCGGGCGGGGTGCCACACCTCATCAGGTTGCGCTCGGCCAGCGCCCTGCACTTGCGCATGCAGTAGGAGGAGGAGGAGGAGGAGGAGGAGGAGGAGGAGGAGGAGGAGGAGGAGGAGGAGGAGGAGGAGGAGGGGGAGGCGGAGGAGAGGAGGAGGGAGGAGGAGGAGAGGAGGAGGAGGAGGAGGAGGAGGAGGAGGAGGCGGATTGGGCGGCACAACATGTGGCAGAACATCAGCGCGCAGGCATGGCAAAGGCACGGCTGGCCTGCGACGCGCCGAGAGATCGGCGGAGCCGGCGCGTCTGGGGAAGCTGTCTCGACGCGATTTGCAGCTGAGGGGAGCTGCTCCAACCTTGAGCCAAAACTGCTACGGAGGGAAGGCAGGGTGCAGGGAAGGACGAGGTGGGCGGCGGGGGGAGGGGGCGAGGAGGATGAGGAACGCAAGCGCCCTTGGCGAGCACGTGTCTCTAAGCCCAAGGCGGAGCACATCGCGGACGGCAGAGCCGGGGCACGCATCGCCTGTAAGGATGCCGCAGGCGCGTGCAGTGCTGCGAGGCACGCGCCGTCGCGTCTCCTGGGCCAGCTGACTCCCCAGACCTCCAGACGTCCCGAAGTAGGTGTTGGAGGAGGAAGGAGGAGGAGGAGCAGGAGGAGGAGGAGGAGGAGGAGGAGGAGGAGGAGGGGAGGAGGAGGAGGAGGAGGAGGAGGAGGAGAGGAGGAGGAGGAGGAGGGAGGAGGAGGAGGAGGAGGAGGAGGAGGAGGAGGAGAGGAGGAGGAGGATAAGGAGGAGCATAAGGAGGGAGGAGGAGGAGGAGGATTAGAGGAGGGAGGAGGAGGCGGAGGAGGAGGAGGAGGAGGAGGAGGAGGAGGAGGAGGAGGGAGGAGGAGGAGGAGGAGGATCGGGGCCTTATCTGGCCTGCTTGGGCGCCCTCTCGGTCACGGCTGGGCTCTCTTCGAAACCCCACTCGCCCTTTGGGGCATGAGTGGTGTAGGGAGTTAGCTTTTCCAGCCCCCTTCTGCCCCCTTTCCAAGGAAGGGCTATAACATGATGTTTCCAATCGTTGCTCATGTACACCCCCTCCCCCTCCTGACCGGAGGCAGCCCCAGAACCGTGACGACCCCCTCCCACCTCCCTGTCAACAGACATTGCAATGTGTGATTCGCGGCCAAATCTGCACCGTGCGCAGGCACGAAGCGATCACCTGGCATTGTGTTTTGACGGGGATGGGGGGCGGCATGCTGCCTACTGCGCGCAGGCCCACCATCCTGGTCGCAAAAACCTGCGAAATACAGTCTGCGGCAAATCTGCATCATACGCGGGCCCCCTGCGATCGTCGTCGTCGTCGTCGCCGTCGTCGTCGTCGTCGTCGCCAATGAGGGTCGGCGGCGCTGGCCGTAAGGCCTTCGCAATACGGCTTGCGGCAAATCTGCATCATACGCGGGCCACCTGCGATCACTTTGCACTGTCGTTTGACCGGGGCGATGTGTGGGGGGGCCTGGCAAGCGCGGCTCACCTCGCGGGCGTCGCGCACCTGGCTGGCGTCTGCGATGATTGCCACGACAGCCCCTGCCCATGCCGAGAGACTCGGGTACGCATGTGGTGGGCGGACGGGGGGAGTGAGCGAGACCGTCGTCAGTCGCGGGGGGGGGGGATAGCTTGATCACTGCTCCGTACTGATGTACACCTCCCCCCACCCCGACTGGCGACAAGCCCAGAACATTGCGGCCCAGCCTCGACAACCCTGTCAAAACATTCCAAAAATCTGGATCATGCGCGCACGACCCGCGATCACGTTGCTTTAGTTTTTGACAAGGGCGGCGGTGGTGCTGGCATGCCTCCTCTTGTTTGGAATGCTAACACCCCCCAACCATGCCTTAGAACGCACACTACTAACATCACTTTGAAACAAACATGTCTTGCGCGTGAACGGCCCGCGATCACTTTGCACAGGTTTTTGGCACGGGCTTCGGGGATGCCCGGGTATTGCCTGCTGTATGCGATGCCCCCCGCAACAAAAAAAAAACACCAAGTGCACTCCGCAACAAAAACGATCAGCGCGGACGCCCCGAGATCACCCGACATGTTTTTATTGTGTGTTTTGAATAAAAAGACGGCGGGGGCCGTCATATTGCCTGCTACGTGTAGGCACATTACCCCGTTCCATCGCAAAAAACGACATGCTCACTTTGCCAGGGGCGGCGGAGGACGGCATACTGCCTGCTGTGTTCAGAGGCCAACCATGCCTGTCAAAAACGAATGCAAATTTATCGCGGGCGCACGTCCACACACAATGCGCCATACTCGCAAACCCGCCGTCACATTGCATTGGTTGTTGACAGGGGCAGGAGAGCCCAGAATCGAATCGATAAGTCGGATCGGCGATCGAAATGGATCGGATCGGCGGAAATCGGCAGCCGAGTCGGGAAAAGTCGGATCGGTAGACATCGGCAGGTTCGTAGGCCTCCATTGAGAAATCGGATCCGAAATCGGAATCCGAAGTCGAATCGAATCGGAATCGGACTCCGTTGAAACCGAATCGAATCGAATCGGAGACATCGAAATGAGCCCTGCAGGGGTGGTGGGACGGTCGACAGATTGCCGCCTGTGGCGCACCTGGTGCGCGTGGCGCATCTGGCACGTGCTGCGCACCTCGCGGGCGTCGCGCACCTGGCCGGTGTCTGCACTGGTTCCCGATGGTTGTCGACATCGGTCCCTGCCTGTGCGGAGACTCGGTTGCTACTTATGTAGTGGGAGGGCGGGAGGGAGTGAGTGACACGACTTGCGGTTTGGGGTAGCTTGACCTCCCCCGACCTCCTCCTCTCGGTCTCAAGGTAGGTGGAGCGTGAAGCGTCAGAACGTCAAAGATGGCCCACGATGTCTCCAAGATGGATCCAGGTAGCAGAACATAGCCTCAAATCTTGCACATAGCAGCAACATATAGTTCAATTGCAGCTTCCAACAGGCCTCCAAGATGCCTCACGACCGCTCCAAGAAAGCTCGAAGTGGCCATGGAGCTTCACTAGGACGCCTCCGAGAGGCCAACACCCTTCCAGAACCAACGAGCATACATGTTTTTTGATTTATCGCCTTTTCGCTTCCAATTGCTTCTGAGGACTTGGGTTGGCTCTAGTATTGCCCACCATGGAGCCTCAGCAAAAGGCCCAAGAGGGCTGCAAGACGCCCAAGAGGGGCCCAAGAACGCCCCAAGATGGAGGGATCCAGCGTGGGGACGCCAATCGGCGGCGCCGCCCTCTTTCTTGATCGATGGATTTCAAGATGGCTCCCAAGGCCCACACGAAGACCCCCAAAGAGCCCGAAGATGGCCGCAGGAGAGTTCTAAAGGCCTTCAGAATGGCCCCAACAGAGCCCAAGTAAGCTGCCAAGACGCTCCCATATCGAAAGATCCGCGAAGGCACTTCTGGTTGATCCCTGGGTCGGCTCAGCCTGATCCCGAGCTGTCCCCCTTTGTGTCCCCGCTGCTTGCTCCTTTGATGTCCCATTGCTTGCTCCTACACTCCCCTCACCAAGGCACCTCGCATGTGCATCGTTTCTGGATGAACTGGCGAAGATACGCGAGCTGGCAAACCCACGCGCCGGGACAGGTCTGGGGGTCGATTTGGGCCCCCCGGCCAAGACTTCCATACGTTTTGACACATCACGCTTTTTCGCCATTTCGGTCTGAAGGGGGCCTTGGGTTGCGTCAGACCGTGATGGTGTCTGTGCGTGGAAACCTCCTGCTTCCCGACTGATGGGAAAGGGACTGATCTCTGCTCGTCAGGCCCGCAAGCAAATCAAACAAACTCGCGGCGGCAAGCTGGCCTTGAGGGGGGGATCCCCTTAGTGGTCTGATTCCCCCATCTCGCTCGAGACATCCCCTATCTCCAGCTCGTGGAGCTCCTCCCTGGAGGTGGCACCGCTGGTGATGGTGGTGGTGTCGCTTCTCTCTCCCTCGGCGATGGTGTCAAGAGCTTTAAGGCCCACTTTGTGGAAGAGTGACGACGTCGGAGGTCTGGGTGGAGAGAAGAGCTCCGCGCTGCGAGAGGCGCCAAGTGCGATCACTCTCGCGCGGCCGGAACCTGAAAATGTAGCAGGGCGGGCATGGGAGAGGCGCGGGAAGCGCTCATCTAGGCGCACTCTGCGTAGAGGGCATCTGCAAAGACAGTGTCGTCGTGTCCTCTCGCGAAGAGCTACACAATGAGCAGACGTGCTGTCCTGGAACTTGTCGTCACCGAGGAGCAGCTGCACCGACCGGTGCTCGAATCGGGGTCGAAACAACTTGCATCCGCTCGGACGTCCATTCCCTGCGCATGTTTCAGTTCCGTGTTTTTTTTGGGGCCAGTCCAAATTCTCCTCGCTGGTCCCCGCCGAAAACATGCACACGTCCGAGAGATGCCAAGACAAACGGCTTTGTCCAGTTCAAAAAGTGGGGGCAAGCTGCATCAGGAAGGCGTGAGTCATGGTTATGATGGTGGTCGTAGTACTCGTAGACTACGAACTCATACCAGTACCAGGTTTACGGCAGCAGCAGCAACAGCAATAGTTGTAGTCACGGTCGCATTCGTAGTCGTAAGCGTAGTGATCGAAGAAGAAGAAGAACCAGTAACAATAGTAGTGGTGACATTAACATAAGATTTGTAATGTCAAACGTCGAAAAACTACAACTACAATTCCCAATGGTAGCAGAAACTGTGTCGAACACAGTAGTGCTAATAGTAAACGAAGGAGTCGGAGTACTGGTAGTAGTCGTCGCAGTAGTAGACGTAGTCGTATTCGTAGTAGTAGTCGTCGTCGTCGTAGTAGTCGTAGTAGTGGTAGTAGTAGTAGTAGTAGTAGTAGTAGTAGTAGTAGCAGTAGCAGTAGTAGTAGTAGTAGTAGTAGTAGTAGTAGTAGTAGTAGTAATAGTAGTAGTAGTAGTAGTAGTAGTAGTAGTAGTAGTAGTAGTAGTAGTAGTAGTAGTAGTAGTAGTAGTAGTAGTAGTAGTAGTAGTAGTAGTAGTAGTATTAGTAGTAGTAGTAGTAGTAGTAGTAGTAGTAGTAGTAGTAGTAGTAGTAGTAGTAGT